GGGGGGGGCAGCAGGGATGAGGCGAACATAACAGTGAGTGTAACGTTAAGGGTTGGCACAACAGACGTGATGAGAACCAGCTGATGTGTGTGCGGTGTGCGACATAAACCGCGACCATCTTGGGGCACCTACCGGACAGAGCGTAGTTATCGATCCACCCGTTTGTGATTCCTCCGTATATGATCATCCACTCGTTGTCGAAGAGTTGCGCGGAGTGCCTGCGCGAAAGCGGAGAGGGGAGGTGCACGTGTGGGTACATAAATGTGTGCAACTGTACGTGTGTAAATGCGCACGTCATATGCATAGGCTAATGCAGTATGCCACTTTTTTATGACCCGTTCAGGCTATTTCCGTCACAGCTAGCCATTTTGCCGCTTTTTTTTTCTTTTTTTTTTTTCTCTTTTCTCTTTCCTTTTTCCTTCTTTCTTTTTTCGCCTTCCTCATTTCTCCTCTCTCATCCTTACCCCCATCGTGGACAGGGCTTGGGCCCCGAGGTGTTGGGGATTTCCATCCACCTAAACGTGTTGAGGTTAAAAATCCACGTGTCCGCGAGAGCCCCATTGAAGCCTTTCCTATTTCCACCAAAGAGAAAAAGAAGTTTTGCAGTTCCATACATGGAAAAGATTAAACTGTGTCCATATCTACCTTCGGGAAACTTATCTATCTGAGTAATTTCCTTCCAAGCGCCCCCAGAAAAGCACCACAAGTCGGACAAGACAGCATTGTTTCCATTTAGACCACCATGAATGAATATGGCATCATTAAAATTGATGGAAGCGTGTTTATATCTGCCACATGGTTTTGCAAGGCTCCCCACTGGTTCCCATTTCTTTGCTTGGAAATCAAATTTAAACGTTTCATCAAGTATTTCATCATTTTCATTTATTCCTCCAAAGATAATAATGCCCTTTTTGTTATCTTCCGAAATAACATTGCCTGAGTGAAATGCTCGAGGAGAAATATCTTCCGAATTTAATCGGATTTTTTCAAATAAATTGATGCCAGGCACATACCTTATAAAATTATTAACACATTTATTCTGTACAATTCCTCCATGTATGCAAATGTCTCCATTTATCTCAACTGTGATATGACCTTTTGTTCTTTTGAAGCATCTCTCATTGTGCATAATTTCTGTTAAGTGGAATGCAGGTGGTGAAAGAAACCCCTTGGACACATCTTCATTATATGCTGTGTTCACATCATCACTCACCATTTGTATTTCTCGTTTCATATTTTCTGTATCTCCTTTGCTCTGGTTTTCATTAACTTTTTCGACCGCTTCAGACTGTACCTCCTCTGCCTTTTCAGGGGTTGAAACTGGCCTTGTTGTGGCGCCACTTATTAGGTTCATCATTTGGTCCCATGGGTTGACTCTATCACTGGCGGTTGATACTTCTGCAATGTCGTTCGTCATCCCTATGGAATTGGCCATAGAAGGGGCTGGACTATTGGCCATATTTGCAGGCATATTCATATGACCATCTAAGGCGGCCATGTCAGGCGAGATAACTTTTTCCTCTAGGCTCCCCATTCCTGCTACATTAATTCGCTCAACCGCGTTTACTCTTTCTGCTGAGGGAAGCATTTGCGGTGCCTTCGGGCTAACTTCGGGGGGGCTGATCACCCCTGCCGCTTTTGCTTCTTCCATAAATGGCTTTTCATCGGTTCGTGGCTCGTCCGGCGCTGTGCTTAGGGTGTCCATGTTGTCAGCCTGTGGAGCGAAGCGCGGGGGGAACCTTCGGTGGATGCCCTGGGGGATGCGTCGGTAGATTGGTGTGTGAATTCCTGTGTCGATTCATGTGTGGACTTCAGTGCGGACTGACGCACTCCCTTACGTGAGTGGACTCACGCCTGTGCAACTTACATGCACTCTCAGTTTCACTTTCGCCTGAACTGTTCTGAAAATATAATATAACCTGTTTTTGCCTTTCTTTCGGGTGGTCCTAAGGTGCGGCCAAAAATTGCCTCTTATCTGCTGTTTCGAAAAACAAACGCAGGTTTCTGCGAAGTGCACACTTCCCTAATCCGTTCGACAATTCTTCCGTTATATCTTTTCCAGCATGAATTCACCTTTTGTCGCAGTGTCGGTAAGAAAATTAATTTCTTCTTTTATGCATGCGGCCAGTGTGTGTACGCTTGGGTGTGAACAAATGACAGCCAAAATGGCAAACAAAGGGGTAAACAAGGAAGTACCGAATGGACGGTCACAAGGATAGGAAGAGAAATAAACACGCGCACACCACTTACACCTTAGCAATCTCGCGTTGCGCACAGAAACAGCGGTGGCGATTATTTTTTCAGAAACAACTTCGAACGACAGTTTGTGAAGTTAGAAAAAAAAAAAAAATTCACTCCACTTAGGCGTACACACCTGTGCGTGGTGACTAATTATTCGTTTGACAAGCATTGCATATGTGACATTTGAGGAGCGCTTCGCAAATTGGATGTCGTTCGGGACATTGTTTTGTTCTGTTCACGTAGCGTGTTCTACTTATTTTTCTTGTTCCGCTTTTTTTTTTTTTTTTGCACTTAAGGGACAAACACTCCGACACGATCTACAATTTAGTGCCAGTCAGCGTAACGTGTGTGTATACCTGATGGTCGTTCTTTTTATGAGCTCACCAAGTTGCACGCTCTTTTTTTTTTTTTGTTTTTTTTTTTTGTTTCCCTTTGTTTCTTTTTACCATTGGTGATAATTTTTGTTGATTCTTCTTTCAATTCGGTTTCTCCCCCGACTCCGTAAAAGTAAGAGCTTCAATTCGTTGGAAAGGGAGTTGGGGTTAGGCCGATGGAACCCCCGCGGAAGGGAAGAAGAAAAAAAGATCTCTCCTTCGCGCCGACGCTGCTGCGCTGTTGTATCCATTTAGCTGCATATTTTCGCCCCGTTTTTCCTGCCTTCAATGCTCCTTTAAAATGCGAAAATTTCCCGCGTCCCGATTGCTTCCCCCCTCTTTGTGCCTGTATGTGAAGTAAAACTTACACACACGTTGGCCGAACGTTTGGAAATGCTTTTTAATTTGGCTTTCATTTGTGCCATTTTTCCTCCATACACATCACGGTCGTCCCCCGTTCTAAAATGCAGTCCTGATCCTTTTAAAATTGGGAGGATGAGAAACATTGCAGGGGGGATTTTTCAAAATGTCCAACTGGGTATCATTTGCGGGGGAAGGGCAGCTGTATTCTGCGCTGGGCTGGCGAGCGGGCAAAAGTGCATATGAAAGGATACGTACAGATGGGTAGCAGCGAATGTATACCTACTTGCACGGAAGGAGGCTAAGTTCCCTTAATTGCTGCTCCCCTGGCAAAAAGTGAAATGAACAGATAAGAGACTCCCTTCAAACATTTCCAGCGACATGTTCGCCATCCCCCCTTCTTTCCCCTCTTAGGGATCTACACCTATACAACGCTGCGCTCCTTCCTCCATCAGTGTGTTTCGTATGGATGCGCAAAATGGTAGTTCATTTGGTAAACTCTGCATATATGTGGCGCACGCCGCGCAGGCATTTTTAAAAAAAGGTGGAAAAATCCTGGGGTGGTATACCATTATGTGCACCCTGCTTGAAGCTCTTCACAAGGGTGGAAAACTTCTCCTCCTCTTTAGGGGTCACAGAAGTGACAAGTTCTCCACATTGGTATTTTTTTCCCATTTAGGAAGTAAAAAATTGGGAGGTACAGCTTCGTTTATCCGCATGCGTAACTCTCCGTTTAAAAAAGCCACGTCCATATTTCGTTTCGCCCTGTTTGGCAACAATTTTGAAAAAAATAAAAAAAAAAAAAAAAAAAAAAAAGAAAAAGTCAGCTACAAGTGGCTATCCAAAAAGTCATATTCCGCTTGGCCACCATTGTTTAAAAAAAAAAAAGTTCCGATCAACTGATGAGCCATCTTACTGAGTTGCCAAAACATCTATAGTGATACAAAACACAGTCAAAGCAGAACTGTTGACCTTTCGAGGGGAAATGAACGGATTTGAGAAATAAAGAAAAAAGGGATATAGAAAAAAAAAAGAAAAAAAACAGGTTTATAACGGAAGAGATATAACCTTTGTTGCGCTGCTCCACTCCATATTGGTGTAATTCCCGTCGACTAATGATCACTTGTGCAGAGGCATCCACATCTCACAACAGCAGCAGCACCTTTGAAAGGTACCCAGTATAATAGTACCACGTCACCAGTTTAGCGACGGACCGAGTCGGTAGTTCCTCCAATTCGGAAACCCCATGGATCACTCGACGGAGCCATTTCTAGACGACCCGAATATGCCCGAAGAAGAAAAAAAAGTGCTCGTAGACGCAAACACGAGAAAGGAATGGGAGTCCACCGGGCAGTGGATGAAGCGGAAGGAATTCCTCCTGAAAATGCTGAGTTATCACAAACAGAATAATCTAAAAATCGATGTCGACAAGTTTGCAAAGATGGGCCATATGTATTACAACATGAAGTTCCTGAGCTGTACATACAGCGATCAGGTGATGGAGGAGATGCGCATGTACGAGCAGGGTTGACACGGCTGGGTGCGCGCCCCCAAAGGAGAAGCAATCGCACCGAAAAGGATAACCGTCAACGGGGGGTGAGGGAAGCGAACTGGGAAAAAGGGGGCCACCGAAACGCGTCCCCTTTTTTTATCCCCCGAGGGGAAGCTCTCTTCATTTTCTTGCGTCCATTTCTGCGTCTATTTCTTGTTTTTTTTTCCCTCATGGTTTTACTTGGCAAGGGGGGGAGTCAGCACCTCCTCTGACGCCAACCCCTCTTGGGGACGAACAAACCGGTCGGCCGACAACGTGCACGCGCACCGGTCCGCATTTGTCCCATTTCACATTTGTCACGATCAACAATTTAAACATTTTTAACTTTTTTTGTTTTTCTAAAAATAAATTCGTTCACGTGAGGGTTCACATAGGCATGGTGTATAAAAAGGGGGGATGTGAGACACACCGATTGGGCATCCTGCGTTGTGCCCCTTGTATCCACATGTGCCTTTTCTGACACAGCTTCCCCCGAGGAGGCATAACTTATGCCCACGTGTGTGAAGGGTGTGTGGGGGGGGGAGGGGAACAAATGAAATGGGTGGGAAGGTCAGCCGCTGGGAAGATGCAAAAATGGGTGAGCAGGCGGCAAGTAGACAGGGATGTTAAAGGTCTACACGATAGGGGCGAATTAAATAGTCCCGCTAGAAGCTCGGCTTAACAGAGTGACCGCTTAACAGAGTGACCGCTTAACAGAGTAACCGCTTAACAGCGTAAGTGCGCTTCACTGGAGAGGCTCCCACTGGCTGAAGGGCTTCACCTGGTTGAAGGGCATCGAGTTGACCTCGAGGAGCTTCCTGAAACGAGCGATGAGCTCCTCCAGGGAGCACACCTCGTGGTTGTTCTGGTCGTCCCTGTTTCGCACAGTCACCGTGTTGGTCGTTAGCTCCTTCTCCCCCACGACAAGAATGAAGTTAAACTGGTTGAGTTGCGCTTCCCGTATTTTCTTGTTCAGCGTGTTCAGTGAGGTGTCAATCTCCACATCGAAGAAGTGATTGTTGAGCGTTTGGTACACGTAATTGGCGTAATCATTAAATTTGTCACTTACGGGGAGGACGATGGCTTGCCTGGGAGAGATCCAGAAGGGCAGCTTTCCAGCCGTGTGCTCTATCAGAATGGCGACGAACCTTTCCACGGAGCCGAGGATAGCTCTGTGGATAATAACTGGTCGATCGAAGCCCCTTTTGAGCTGCTCTGCCGTATCCACGGTGAGGTCGGAAGGTGTGTTCTGATTGTGGGGAGGATTTCCATCAGCTACTTCCACCCTTTCCGCTACTTCCTCGTCCCGCTTGGCCGTGCCGCTTTCCTCGTTGAGTGCCCCAAAGTCCCTGTTCTTGTACTGGAGGTTGAATCGGGAGGGAAGCTGGAAGTCCAGCTGGATGGTGCCGCACTGATGGGTTCGGTTAATGCTGTCCCTGAGTAGTATATCAATTTTGGGGCCATAAAAAGCTCCATCTCCTTCGTTGAGTTTCCACGTGATATTGGCTGAATTGAGAGCGTCCTTTAAAGCCTGCTCCGCAAAATCCCAAGTGGAGATATTCCCAATAAACTTCTTCGGTCTCGTGGATAAGAACAATTCGTATTTAAATCCAAATAGGTCATAAATGAAAAATATGAAATGAAGAGTGCTTAACACTTCCTCCTTTATCTGCTCAAAAGTACAAAAAATGTGCGAGTCATCCTGTTGAAATCTGCGTACTCTAGTAAGGCCACTCAAACTACCAGAGATTTCATTCCTGTGTAGAACCCCAAAGTCAGCTAATCTGATCGGTAATGACCTGTATGACGTATTTAACTGCTTAAACATGACACAATGTCCAGGACAGTTCATAGGCTTCATTCCCCACTCTTTCTGTTCTACATTAAAAATGAACATACAATCTTTGTAATTTTGGTAATGTCCCGAGGTCTTCCACAGATCACAACTGAAAACATTCGGGGTGATCACTTCGTCGTAGGACCTTATTCTATATTCTCTTCTAACAAAATCGATTAATTTATTGTATATCTTTGCTCCATGAGGTAACCAGAAGCATGACCCTGGGGAGGTATCTTTGTCGAAAAAAAAGAAATGCAATTTTTTGCCTACATTACGATGATCTCTTTTTTTTGCTTCTTCCAAGAAGGTTAAATATTCATTTAATTCCGTTTTTTTCTGAAAAGTGATGCCATAAATTCGCTGTAAACTTTCATTGTTTTTATTTCCTAACCAGTAGGCAGCTGAGTTTTTTAACACCTTGAATGCTTTTGCCTTCCCTGTGCTTTTTATATGTGGTCCTAGACAGAGGTCGATAAAATTCCCACACCTATACACGGAGGTTTTTTTATTTTCTGGTATTTTCGATCTGATCAATTCTAACTTGAAGGGATTATATTGAAACAGATCCATCACTTCGTCTTTCGTACAGATGAGTTTCTCAAACTCTGCGTTTTCTTTTATCAGCTTGTTAAATTCGTCTTCTATTTTTTTGTAGTGTTCATTCGTTATGGAAAATTCGCGTAGGTATATATCGTAGTAGAAGCCTTCCTTGAGGGGGGGTCCGATGGTGAGGTAGCCTCCGAAGAGCTTCTCCAAGCTGCTGCCTAGGATGTGTGCGGAGGAGTGCCAGAAGGTCTTCTTCGCCTCCTCGTGCTCCAAGGTGAGGAACTCAATTTTGCAGCTTCCGAGCAGTGGCACGTTCATGTCCCACAGGAGGGCCGTTTCGCCGCCCTGTTCGGCGCTGCAACTCACGGTGTCATCCTTCGCTCCCTCCGCTTCGTTCGCTTCGTTCGCTTCCCCTCCTTCTTGCTCCTCCTCTATGTCGCAGAGCTCCAGGTCCACCTTCTCCACGTATGTCACGCGCGCCACGATGGAGTCCTCCGCCAGCCTCTTCGAAATGGAGCTGGCAATCTGAAACGGGGTCGTCACATTGCACTGTCCCACCTTCACCGACCCATCAAGAAGCTGCACATTTATGCTTCTCGTCAATTTTGCGTCACTCTTGAGTAGCTCCTCCCTTTCGATTCGCTTCTTCTCCTTCAAATGATTGTACTTAGTTAGCCTCTCCTGGATAAACGCTGGGTTCTCCCCGATGACCAAATTTTGCTTTAATTTCTGCAAGAGGTCCCCCTGGGATTTATCAACGCTGGTGGTGGATGCCATTCTGTGGGATGCCAGTTTGCTCACCTTAATCGTCCTCCTCTTCCAGCTGCAGATACTGCTTTTGAACAGTTGGTTGATGTATAGGGGGTTCTTTCTCGTGACCTGAAGATCATTGCGACCGTGCCGTCTCCTCTGCGCGTCATTCGAGTGAGCAACGTTGCCGGCGCTCCTTGCAGTTGGCTTATACAACAGGGGGGCGTTAAAATTGTTGCACGTGTTCGTGAGAAGAACGCAAAGACTCATAACCGTTCTTCGCATTCACGCCTTCGGTTGGAGGTGAATTGTACACAAGGGCATGCAGGCATAAACAGGGGCAGCGCGGATAAACATGGGCAAGCACGCATATACATGGGTTACACGCAGGGGTGATTTCAAGTAGGACCATTCGCTTGGTAAGAATCTGTCGCGATTTCGCTTCCTATCGGTGATGCTATTCTCATTCCTATCCCTTTTGACTATTTCTTTTTTTTTTTTTTCCTCGACTTGTACGCAACTAAGAGTGGGTTCTCAAATCCGTTTCCGCGAACAGCCGCAGTGAGATCACCCACGTGGCATAGCATCACACATAGCCTGAGGCATGCACCCCGTTTTGCACCCCCTTTGCACGCGCTCTTGTGTGGCTTTATATGGTCAACAGAAACAAGGGAATTTCCCCTGCTGCACAGCTAAACAGTTTGGCCCTCTTACAGAAATTATGTCGTTCCATTCGAAGTGGTGCTGAACCTTGTAGAGGCAGCTTACGTGTGGTCGCCACAACGGTACGTAGCAGGGCTGAGATGCCGCTTTGCTAAGGCAAAAAGGGGAAGGCTCATTATAGTATGATCCCGTCACACTGCCTTGGGGGATGCCTTTACTGGAGATCCACTCACACCCCATTTTATGACAACATCTCATAGCACCCCACTACCCCCGCCCCACGTGGGTGGGAGTAACATACAATGCTACTTCCATTTCGTCGGAAGTGGTTCCTAAAAAAAGGATACTTCCCCCCGCAGGGACTACACAGCAAAATGTGTTTCTCTTCCACCACGTTCCTCTTTGTGAAAGTCTCTTAACGAGAAAAATAATTTACACCTTTTGGAAACTGCTTCATGTTGTTGCGTACTTGGCTGGAGTGGAGGGGGTGTGTTTGGCCTCTCCACAAAAAAGGGGACATCAGTTGGAGGGGCATGGCCACTCTGTTTGTGCTGCGGAATGAAAAAGAAAAAAAAAAAAGAAGCAAAGACGCACATAGCAGAGGAAGAAATATTGAACAGATGAAGAACCCCCCCGTGCAGAAAAGAATACACAACGGTGATGCACTGCATCGGTGACTGCTCGGACGCATATCACAAAATGGGACAAAAAAGATACAAATTAAAGAGGTCCTCATACCACGCAGAGGGGTGGGAAACCAATGTGCCGCACAGAAAAATTCAGATACATAGGAAACAGAATTGAAGGGCGTGCCCATGAATTCTCCACAGGCGCTCTGACCGAAGTCAGTCCAACATGATCACATCGCTTTCCTTCTCCCTGAGCTCGTCGATGCCCGTGATCCTCTCGAGGACGCTGCTGTCGCGGATGACCTGCGGGAGGGGGGGAGGTAACAAAATGGGCAAAAAGATTTGCAACAGAATGGGCTAACAAAATGTGCAACAAACTGGGCAACAGGCGACTCAAATGAAACAGAACAACATGACTGCTAAATAGACGCCGCTCCGTGCCTACATTTTCGACGAACACCTCCGGGCATGCCTGGTAGCGCAAAATGACCTTCTCCGAGCAACACATGCATCGGTCGAAGGCACTGCAATACATTTTCCTCATCGTGAATTCGGCCAAATTGAGGGACAAAATGTGAGGTGTGGCTCCCAAGCAAGAAACCAGAGAATTTGAAGCAGCTCTGTTCTTCACCCTTCCTGTCTGCTCCCTGGAAGGATCCCTCCTTCCATCCATGTGCATGTCGCAGCCGTACACATACTGATCTTTATTCGTGTGAGGTGCAAAAAAATGTAGCGGGTGTTGCGTTAGGGAAATTAATAACTCTACAGATAGCCCACCACTGATGCTACTTAGTCCTCCTCTACTCACAGTGCACTTCTCGTCAAATGGTTGGCCAAATGAGGAGTTCTCTGGAGAGTGCAAATCGTTACAGTAGAAGCACCCACCCTTAAAATATAAGTAGGGGTGTCTAATTATGTGTAGCGATTCGAATCCTAACGCGATTGTAATTCCCAGGGGGGGCATTTTGGCTAGTTGCATTACATTCGTCAGAATATTGTTGTAAAAGGTTTGCCTCTCATGGATGGCTTCGTCCGTCAGGTTATTCTCCTTGGATAAGGACATGTAGAGATCGCTATGGTAGTCACTAGGGGGATCGAAGTGCATGGGGTTTGTACAGTCCACGGGGTTAGCACAATCCACAGGGTTGGTAGATTCCACGGAGTTAGTAGAATCCACCGTGGGGAGGGTGGTCTCCCTCTGCTGCTCTTCCCATTTCTGTCCATTTTGCAACTCCCTCATACAGTTATACTGCTTCTCCGCAATTAGCAAACTGGGGAAGTACCTTGATTCCTTCGAATCAGTTGCCAAAAAAACGATATCATGATTGGATATCAAATTATCTAAATCGGCGATTGTTTCCTTCGTCTTACCTATGCGTCCGTTGGAGACGTAGCTCGAATGCCCAGGCATAGGAATATCAATCAGCTTCGCCTGAATCTTCAGATCTGGGGCAATTTTTAATAAACGCCTCTTCGCAGCGACTACTTTGTGCACTGGCATTTTACACTCATCTTCTATGTCATCTGTGGTGTAGAGGGACTGCCTACCTACGTTCGAAGGTTTTACGACAGAATTATCAACGAGGGTTAAGTGTTTTATTCCCCAGGTTACACACGTCCTTGCGACATTACACCCTACTGTGCCCATGCCTAGGATTAGGACCTTCAATGAGGTTATTTTTTCCTCGTTTAGATCTTTGAGGAGATTCCACTTTATTAGCTTTACATGCTGCTCGAGGGCTATTCTCTGCACCACGTCTCGGTTGAGAAAGTTGCGCAGGCTAACTTTGTGGATGGTGCTGTCGCCGTTTGCCCCCACGCGCCGCTTCCACCCGGGCGCGCAGAGGATGGGGGCGGCATCCACGCAAGCAGCAGTTTCGATCGCAGCAACTCCCCCTGTAGCCGCTTCCCCAAGGTCGCCCCTGCTTGGGACCCTTATTTTAAAAACTGACGAATTTAGCAGGTACTTCACCAGTTGGTCTTTCCTCGCGGAGAGGTGTGTTTCCCCGGCGAGGTGTGTTTCCCCGGAGAAGTGTATTTCCCCCCCCCTGTGGTGAAATGTTTTCCCTTCCATGTAAGATTCTTCCCTTTTCCCAATCCACTCACGTTCCTCCCCCACTTGCATGGCATCATAATCTCGAGTAACCATCTTAGACACCATGGTGCACTGAGCGCTCTTCACAGGGGGCACATGCGCATTGGACATCCCAGGGATGGTGGCAGTGGGACTTCCTTTCGAATAGGGATATTTCCATAACAAATGAGTGGACAACGACTTGCACACGACTTCCTCGGACAGTAAAGAGAAATCCCTAAAGACAAGCAACTCGATCTCGAAATCGTACAACTCGTATTTTAAGGACAGACAATATAGCAGATTTCGAAAGTCCCAACCCAGGGACGTGAAGACGCAATTTGGATCCACAAGGCAGATGTACAGGTGGAAAAAGTCTTCCATAACGTATTTTAACTTCTTCTCCTTCAAATTTTGTAGATCTTCTTTGAGTTCGCCTAAGCAGCTTAACGGTAGGACGGTGAGCCCAGCATAACGGCGCAGCACGTGATAGGGGCTGTCACATTTCATCTTCGGATCGTCGAAGTGGCATTTACAATCGCATGAACGGGTGTCTCTTAACCGCTCCACTGGGTTATCTGAACAAGCACACATACAGAGGTTACTCCCTTGAGGGTGCTTCTCGCGAATGCCTGAGAGATATTCGCACACATCCTTGAAGGAGCCCAACGAGGCAAACGCTATTTCTTCCTTCCTCTCCTCTCCAAGTTTATGGCAGACTCCTAAACGGTGCAAACTCCTCTGGTACATTTTCATATACAGGTGAGGATTCCGTAAGGACAACTCCTCCGCATCAAACTTTAACAGAAGAAATGCCCCAGAGTCCACGAACAATTTATTCCCGTCAAAGAATGTCTCAATTTGGTGAGACAAGTACAGCAGATCTCCCACGTTGATGTAGTTCTTTCTCGAATCTAGGTACATCACCTCAGGGTCGATAAAAAAATATAATCGCTCACTGGGTTGTATCATCTTAAAATGGACACGCGGATTCACCACCGGGTTGGCCAAGCTGTAGTAGCACAGAAAATCTTTAAGATCAAAAAAGGTTAAAATTAAATATGTGTTTATTTTTTCAAAGTAGTTTATCTCATTTGGTTTATATATCCAGAAGGAATCTTCATAGATGTTGTCTTTCATTGTTCCATCGTCGAGGCCATTGTTCATATGGCTAGCTCTCTTCAAGTACTTCCTCAAATTGCTCATTGTGTAATTAATGTGTGTTCCCCTTTTCGTGGTTAAAAATTCCTCCAGGGTGTTGAAGTTTAGTAAAATGCCCCGATATTTCTTTGAAAACGTGTTCCTTTGCTTTGCCTTGGTATCCTTCCCCTGTGTATTTTTCATATCTTCCCTCCTGGTTGTGCACATCACGGAGAACTCCTCAGCTCCATCACTTACTCCACTCGGAACAGTGTTGCATGAAGTAACGTTTTCCCTTTCTGCCACTTCCTCACAGGTCATACTCTCTGCTGCAGTTTGACCGCTTTCTCCCTCGACATGGGGGAAAGAATTCCTATCAATTTCTACCACGCTGCAACTGACGTAGGGATACTCAAACAGAAGCGGCTCCGAAGAATCCGGCAGGTGGGGATGATTCACCCTCACATTCATTCTATGCACGTTGCTACTCGAAAGCAGATTGATATACTCACATCGACGCTTGTAAATTTCAATTTTCTGTTCGTACAATTTTGTGAAGAAAGAAATGTCCATTTTGAACTCATTGTGGCAATGCTTCAGAATGTCCACCCCTTCCACTTCTTCCCTTTTTGGCTGTTCTTTTTCTGTTTTCTCCTTCCCTGACGGGGTTTTTCCTACGCTGGGGTCCATCTTCACCCCTAATTTGTGTGGCAAACTGCTCTGCGTTATTATGCCCAAAGGGGGGGAAATTTAAACAGATGTTTTTCTTTTCTTTCTTCTTTCTCTTTTTTGTTATCCACCCGATGTAGTAAGGAGCAACAAAATGGAGTGAACAACTTTGTGATACACAGTTTGTGTCCCTGTTAAGGAGGAATGTTTGCACCAAGGGGGATGCTTTCCTCATACTTAAGATTTTAGCATATTTTAAAACAATTTGTTGCCACCCCTTTTTACGCAAAACGGAGTGTTGCTTACGAGAAATCAAAGGTGGTGACTACACATGGCTGAAATGGTGCAGAAGAAATTGGCTCTCCCAAAATAGGGCGAAACTGTTGAGGGATAACCCAAATGATAGAAGCCTTGGCACAGAATATATTAAATTGCACGCCTTTGCAAATTTGCCTCATCCGCTTGACGCGCCTGTAATTCACATGCGACACACGTGCGCAGCATTTTTTCGAGGTTGTCCTTTATTTCAAAGTGACAATTTATTTATCAACTACGCATCTTGGCCCCAGTTACTGCACCTCTGCCTTCATCCTACCCGGCCCATTAGCCGAAGCGCAACCCTGCATTGGCAAGACAACGTAGTTTGTTACGCAAAAAAAAAGGGTTAGCAAAAAAAAAAAACAGCAAATTTAACGTTATCCTATTTTATTGTTCCTCCATTTAAAAAATAATTCTTAAATGGAACATTTAAGTTGGGAAGGTACCACCTCAATATGCTCCTTTCAATTTTTTCGTAAATTTGTGCGCAAGAAGCGGGGCAGACAGCTTTGCAACCCCTACAACGTCCACCTACATGTGTATGCGAAATTTATGGACCGCCCCACCAAAAGGGATTCGCGATAGCGCATAATTTAATTAGCCGGGGTAAATTTTTACTGTGTACAAAGCTCCCCATGAACCGTGTAGTTTCGATTAATTTTTATAGCCGTATCTTTGGAACATTGGGAAATGGCGGCACGATGGCCATCCTTACAATACACATACCTTGTGTTAGCACTGTTACCGGTGCTGGAGAGTAGGATTACCCCAATAAGGTTATGGGGGACGGGGGACGATGAGGAAGTACAACAATGTGGTATCCTCAACAGGCATTAACAGAATTCCTCCACCACGTATGCACTAACTTAATCGTAAAAGTTGACTTAAGGCGGTTTTAAATACGCCCGCCACGGGGCTTCGGTCTCTGCTTAATTAGTTCAGCCATATAAATATGCATAACAACAACATAAGCAGTTGTTTTCGTCTTTTTTTTCTTTTTTTTTTTTTACCAAAATTATATGAACCGTTCATGCAATATGTATTAAAAAAAAAAACATGCACACAGAATATGTTAGGTAAAAAAAAAAAAAAAAAAGAAAAATGCAAAATGGCTAGCTGCTAATTCATTCACGCCCCCTTCTTTTTGGACACACCAACAGTTCTTCCTCTTCGTCCAGTGGTCTTGGTATGTTGACCACGAACTCTCAGTCCCCAGTGGTGACGTAGACCTCTGTGCAGTCTGATTTTTTTCATTCTTTCCAAGTCTTCACGTAGGTAGGAGTCCAGCTGGTTGGCGATGACGTGCAGATTTTTTCCTTCCTTTACATCCTTCCTTCGGTTTAAGAACCAATCGGGAATCTTGAATTGCGATGGGGCATTCATGATGTGCACAATCTGTTAAGCGGGGCAGACGGGTGAGGAGAAGAGGTCACCATATGGTTGGAGGCATGCATATGTGTGTTAAGCGCACATACTACTTCGCACGCATGTGCGCGTTGCAAGGGAAGTACATAACAGAAGAGCGCAACAGGGATGATGGAAAGAAAGATTCGCTGGCGTGCTACATAGTAGGCACATGCGATAAGTAAATCCACGGGGTCCAAGATCAACTGGGGGAATTGCTGCATATCCCACTTCGAATATCACGGTCCCCTCTCACTTACGTTATTTATCTCCTCCGTGGTGAGTTCTCCTGCTCTCTTGGTCGAGTCCACATTGGCCTGCTTGCAAATGACAGTGGCCATTCTCTTCCCAATTCCTTTTATGGCTGTTAAGGCAATGGTGACCTTTTCCTTGCCATCAACGTTGGTATTCAAGATTCTCAGTATGTGCTGGAAATCGTTTTGGTCTATCACTTGTAGTGACATTTTTGGCGGGCTATTTTTTTTTTCGACTGGAGTTTATAAAGCAGATGGAACTGCGCAGGGGGGAGAAGAGCAGTTAATTAGGAAGTGAGAAATGAGGAAACTATGTTCCGTTGGTATGCATTGATTGGTCGAATATTTGTTTTCTGTTCTTTTTTTTTCTTTTTATGCCTCAAAATGGTTTATAAAAAATTAATTCTGGCTTTTTTCTACAAACTTTGCAATGAAGAATATTCGTTTCTTCGCAAGTAGCAGTTTATATACTCTTTCTGTGCTCGAGAATCTTTTTCTGCACTTTTTGGTGACGCGTATTTTAATTTTTTCTTATCAATTTTGCGCTGTTTTGCGGGTTTCAACCTTTTCGTTTTGCTTATTTTTATTTTTTGAAAGATGCAAATTTTTTTTTCTCACCTGAGTTGCACGTATCTCGCGATAAGGATAAAAAAGCGTATCGTCCCTCGCGACGAGCCTACACTGAGGCCGGGGATCGGGCAAAGCAATATTTTTGCCGCTTGACAAAGCCTTTCTTAAAAAACAATTTTCCCACGTGAAGAAACCCAGTTGGAGGTATCGCACAATACGTATGCGAAAGGTTAATCATCTCACGTGCATACAACACAGAGAGGCTTATTTTTTCTTTTTTTTGCGATGCGATTTTTCTTTCGCACCGAAACGTGGGTCCCTGTGTACTTGCTGCCGACTTATGGGTTGGCCGCGCCTTTACGGAAGGAACCCATTTGGATAACTTCTGCCAGTTCGTTAAGGAAATGTATACACAAAGAGCGCTACAAGTCGTCATCGAAGGGAACAACGCCGGGGTACACTAGGGGGATGCCTTATTATGGGCGGATCTCACTTACCTGCTTGTCACGCACAACGGGGAATAAAGAAAAATGTGGCGCATAAAAGTGGGAAAAAATGTAAGCGGAACAAAATGGCATGAATCAGGTTCCACCCTTTTTTTTGAGCAGCTGACGTGGGCGGGGGAGGTATTCCGCATGGCCCATTGGAATTTATTTTTTATTTGTGGCGCCGTGTCATTAACTCCCCGCCTGCTGCGAAGGGAAAATTCTTATGTGAACCAAAAAAAAAGGGGATCACATTCTACTGATCTTTCCCGTTTTACGAAATTGTTTCAAATCTGCCAGCCGTTTTTGTTTTCCTCAGAAAGGCAAAGGAGAAGTTACGTAAGCTTAATTGGAAAACTCCGGAAAAATGGACCCCCCTGTGGGGACGTACATACAGTTATATAATTATCTAAGTGCACGCTTTCCTTTCTATGAGTTACTTAATTTTGGGTGCTCTCTGTGCCCCACTTAAGAGCACTTCCGTAACGTGGTAAGCGGCATGGAGGTGTTTGTGCATACTGGAGTTGGAAGAAGACCTCCTGAGGTGATGGACCACTCTGTCTGCCGCATTCCCTTACGAAGCCCCGGTGCTGGGCGGAATATGGTAACAATCCGTTTCACCATTTCTGTGAAACATAAAAAGACGACACCTTCGTGGGAAAGGAACCCGAATGGAGCTACCACATACCATAGGGAACGAAACATCTCAACGAGTTTGTGTAACACCACCCCTCGTGCTCTCCCCCCGTTGCATAAACCTCGTCAGCCAAATGGTTGTTAACCGCGTCATCCCTATGGGATAATAGAAGATGCGAACTTTTTAAGCTTCACAAAAATTTGGCTAACTGCTAAAAAGTTATAAAAAAAAAAAAAATTCCGCATTTTGGGCCCCCCTTTTGCGTGCGCAGCAAATTGTGTAGACCTAAATGTATACATTTGCGATGCTTCCGTCTGGATAATTTTTAAGAATCGAAAAACGAATGAGAAAAAATAACTCACAACTTCTTCCTTGCTGTGTAATATGCGGAAACCATGCGAAGGAGGCGTCTTTCCCGGAAGAAGGTATGCATACCCTACACATGCACATATGCGCGTCAAATGGGACTCCGCACCGTGGACGCACAATTCATTTTCCCATGCACAACGTAATTTCTCATGCACGTCACGCGAATGTGCACAGCGTCCGATTTGAAATGAAGCTCTCCTCATGGGGATGCACACTTGCAACATCTGCTCCACAGCTGATCTCAGTAACGACATGTGACACACCCATTTAAAAAAAGTAAAATTCAAAAGGTGCTCCGTATTGTGCTAACCCATTTGGAAAAAAAATAAGATTCGTACGAGCGTTACGTAGCGCTAACTCGCTTAAAGAAAAAAAACATTCCCTTGTTAATTCACGCAGCTGGTAACGTTTAACAGTCTGCAAGCGAGGAGGATAAAAGAAAAAATCACAAAAAATATAAAAGAGGAAAAACGGGCACAGGATCCATCAAATTTAACCCTTCTGTGCATAATTTTCACATGCTTAAGAAACCGCGAGGGGGTTACAAACTCCTTCTATATTCACCCGCCCTTCCGTAACCAGTTTCTTAGAGGAACCCCAAGCGGCAAGTTGCTTTTTTTTTCCCTCCTAATTAGCAAAAACAAAATTAAAAAAAAAAAAAGAAAAAAATACATATGCTATACTTATCTATATAATATAAAATACTACCGATATGCTTTCTCTCTTTTTATTTCCCCTACCATTTTTGAAAAAAAAACAAAAATAATAATGACCGAGCAACGTGGTTCAACCTAGCCCCCAAATGATAAACTCTCAATTACACAAAAGGGTCAAAAACACTTAAAAAGGAACCAATTGACAGGAAACACGACTAATGTCAAAGCAGAGTTCGAAACGGAGAAGATGAAAGGGAGTATTAATTCTGAAGGGGGACAGGGGGACGCTGATCATGTTGTGAGAGAGGAAAAGATGGGCCACGAAAGGGACGATCAAAGTCAGGCAAAAAGTGTGACCCTAGATGGATTGAGTAGTTTGATCCCCAATGGAGTGCAACTCCCCCATCAGGGTGCTCCCCTCAAATGGGGGGGAATGAACCACCACGTGAGGATTACCCAACCGAGTAGCCCCAGCAAAGAGAGCGGAAGTGAGAGGAAGAGTTTCCCACTGAAAAGCATCTTCCTCACCCCTATCACAAAACACACCATACTAAGGAGCATAAGCGCTATAAGACAAGGCATCTGTGCGAAATGCGCCATGCCCGGACACCCACTGGGAGGAACAGGAGCGACAAGAAAAACCGAACCAACCATTAAATCTCTGGTAAAGTACTCTTTCCAAGCGAATGAAAAAAAAAAATAACAAAATGAAGAACATCATGTCGATACAGATTCCCGCACACAGAAACGTAAAAACCTCTGTTAAGAGGAACCAGCAACAAATCTTAAAAAGTTACATTTATATGATGAATACTGAAAGGAACAATTTCTATATGAACACTGAACGTACAGATAAAAAAGGACATAAACATAAGTTCCCTCCTCATCTTTTAAAAGAGCAAATACTGAACTTTAGTAAAAGACCAAGGGATATCATTTCAAAGCCATCGAACAACTGCAGCAGTGGCAACAATTTGGAGAAAAATAAAAAAAAAATCAAAGTTAATAAGGCAGAAGAAAATGACGATGTTATCCTTTTGGACGGAGATCAAAATGTACCTTGCCGTTCAGGTGAAAATGGGCCAAAAAGTAGCAAGACGGGAAACAACAATTTGGTGCAGGGGTACAATAAGGGGGAGGACGCAGGTGGGAGTAGCACCTACAATTTTTTGAAAATCCCCCTTGCAGTGAAACGGAAAGATGGTAAAATTAGCCTCAAAAGGAACAGCATAGCAATCACGGGTGTGGGCATAAAAAATAAACAAAGTAGCGCAAATCGCACGAGTGGAGAAAAAAGTGACAGTGTAAAGAACGCGTCGTTTAAAAAGATTTTTAGTGCGGAGGAGGCGAACAAGATAAAGCTGAATTACAACAATAATTTTAGCGGCATGGAGAAGAGGGAAGAAAAAAAGGTGAAGGACTTCTACTGCAAGTTTTACAAATGTACACAGGGCCAACAAAAGGGAAGTGGGACCAACCGAGGCTATGCCAGCGATGCCGCAAATGTGCAAACTTCCTGCTTACGAATGCTCGATGCGCCGTCCAAATACTGCAAATCGTGCAGGAAATTTTTTAAGCTGCTCATATCTCACGGCACCAAGTACAAGGGAACGCTAGTAGGCATAAACTTTATCCGTCCAGACGTTCAAAGCGTTTTGTACGCGTACAAATGCGATAAACAACACGAATTTAACCTGTCGCTCTTTCACATTATGCACAATTTGTGGTGCCCGCATGATTATTGCCTGTTCGAGTGTAAGAACACGCATGAGAAAAACTATGCGACTGAGTTCTTTCGCCTCAAAGAGTTGGACACTATGGAAAAGCAGAGGGACCTATTTTTACAGGCCAAAATGTTTTGTCTCGTCCATCCGGAGAATGGTAATAACTGCGCCCTTATATGTGGACAAGGAAAAAAGAAAATATATATATATATATGCACATGTGTATACATTTTAGCTAGCTAACTAGCCATTTCCCCCCAATGACTTTTTTTCCCCCGTGCAGCCTTGCCAGACAGTAGCGAGAAGACCGGAGCAGAATGCACCGATGATGGTAGTGACGATTTTAAGCAGACCTAAGAGAAACCCCCTTCGCGTGTGTGTATACATTAGCTTTATCCCCACACTCCCATGTTCAGATCGGTATACTCACCCAGCTGAACAACGCATGCGTATCGCTTTTTTTTCACTCTTCAGTTGAGAGGATTATAAGGAACGCCAACGACCCGTGGAAAGTTCTCCAGGTATGTCCCGCGGCAGTTCGCTGGTGTGAAAAAGTACGTACATATGGATGAGAGGAACCATGCAAGTGTTTATTTTTTTTCACAATTGGATGTGTGAACCTGCGTAGTCATTATTTCCCCCCCCCCTTTTTTTTTTTTTTTATGTCCTTGCGCAGATCAAGAAATTTTCCAAAATGGAGTTATGTGACAAGGAGTTAAAAAGGAAAGTACGAAAAAGTTACCGCGCCCTGGCGCTGAGGGTTCACCCCGATAAGAACAAAAGTAAAAATGTAAGGGGAGCTGAGGCAAGCATGGGCATACTCGTATGTATACACCTGTGTGTACATGGGTAGGAATGTGCTCCCCTTTTAGCGAACGTCGCATCCACTTCTGGGAGCGCATCCCCCGAATGGAAGAAGTTTCAGCGGCAGTGCGTTTGCATGTGGAATTATTCCTCCTTGTGCACCATCACCGATGCCGGTAGGCAGTTGCGTACCTGACGCCCCCCCTCATTTCACGATTACGCTTCCCTTTTTGCAGGTCACGTTAGCTATGAACATTTTAACCAACTCGATGAAGGCAATAACATCCGCGTAGCAGCATTCTTGAGTTTGAAACCGTGAAATAATCACCATCCGAACAGTTGTCTGTTTTTTTTTTTTTCTGGAAGCTCCCTTAATTTGGAACAATATTAAGTTGTTTAAATACCTCCCCTTTTTATTTCTGTTTATTTTTGTATATTTAAAAATGTCTATATATCCAAAGAAATTTTTTTTTTCCTTTTTATCATCTATTTTGTGTATCCCGTATCAGGCGCTGAAATTGCTCAGATCGTAGACGGGCGCAGCTGATGCGGCTTTTTTCCTGAAGCTTTTTTATGTAATCTAGATTGAATGCCTTTTTTTTTACGTAGCCCTTAGAATCCCTTCTTTTAATGCGTTTAATGCGGTTAATCGCTTAATGAATTTTTTTTTTTTTTTTTTTAGTATAATATATACTCTCCACTTGTTTAAAAAATGGTTTTTTTTTTTTTTTTTTTAATTTCCTCGAGTGTTATGTTTTGTCCCTGCCGTCGCGTGTTTCTTTTGCTTCTTTTTGAGAAAAAGGGCCAATTGTTTAGTCCGCATGGTGTACATTTGTATATACACTGCGGGTGTGCCCTTTTTCTTCCAATTGAGTTTGCCGCCCACGTTATGTTCTTTAAATTGTCAATTTGAAGAATACGTAAATTATTTTTTTTTCTCCACTGCCTTTTCGTTCCTTTCATTGTTCCATTGTTTCTTTTTTGTGAATGCTTCTTTTTTTATTTTATTTTTTTTTAAAACCCCTTTCCGTTAAGAGGAACTACATTTTTTGAAGAGAACTTTTTTTTTAGTTTAAACGATATCTTATGTGACTTTTTTCTTTTTTTTTTTTTTAATGCATCCCTTCCACCTTTTGCCGGGACACTCCCTCCATCGTGTAGCAATAGGTTGATATTGCCAAAATAGGAGGATCACCACGCCCGTTTCGCAATCTCCGAAATGATTAACAATTTTAAATCACCACAGTCGAATGACCCGATTAAGAAGCTGCAGAATTTGCTGAACAACTGCCTCTACTCCGTCGTCGTTAGTTTGAGAGAGTGTGAAAAGGCACGAGAATGTCCCCAAGTGGCCTCTCAGTTTCGGCTCAGTTGTGACTGAGTTGCCGCTCAGCGATCCACTGAGCGCCTGGACATCGACTGAAATATGCACATCAACTCGCATGCACAGCAGATAAAGAGGCGTATTCACAAGTTCGCCTAAACCGTGCAGTCAAAATTGCGTCTACACTGATCAGCCATTTTTTGCGTGCAACACTTTACACGCACACATTTCACCATGCGGCTTTTTCGTTCCACTTGAAGGACGTGCTGAGCAATTTATCCTACCAAGGGGATCCCAAGGAGCTGGAAGTTGTTCCGGAGGAGGAGAGTGAATATGCCTACTTTGTGAACTTGCTAAAGGAAAGGGCCGCCGACATTGAGCGGGAGGCGCAGGAGAATGAGGAAGCGGTGGAAGAAGTACAGGCGGAGGTGAAGGGGGAGCTTGAAGAGGAAGTCAAAGCGGAAGTCAAAGAGAAACTGAAAGAGGAAGCTAAAGAAGAAGTTAAAGAAGAAGAAAAAGAGGAAGCACAGGAGGAAAACAACACGCCGGACAACTCCACGGGGGACGGCGACCCAGTGAAGGATGGCCAAACAGACGAATCGAAGGACTCGTCAAGCGAAGAAACGGGCGATGAGTCGTACACAGAGTCAGGCGGTTTATCGGATGGACAATCAAACGTGGATACGATGGACAGAAAGGGAACAGACGACGAGCAGACGCAACGCTCCGTGGAGGAAGGACCCCCCAAAAAGTATTTCGTCAAACCCTATTTTGAAACCCCCTTGCGGGAAGAAATCCTAGACCGAGTGGAACGAATGAACTTGATTTTAAAAATGATAGACTCTTGCATAGAGGAGCTGCCCGATTCGTTAATGATCGAAGTGAGTGACAAAGTGTCGCGCCAACGTGTTGTCGGCAACGTATTATCCACTTGCATCGCGCAAAGCTCGCGGCCACACGCTGTTCTCCGCATACACGTGAGTATACACGTGCGCCGCTTAAACCACCCCCTCGCAGGAAGAGAAGTGCCAAGAAATTAAGGCGTTACAGAAACGGAAGGACGACTCCAAGGAGGAGCTAAAAAGGCTCTACAGCGAATACGACGCCATTTACAGTTACGTCTCGGATAACCTGCGGGACATCATTATTAACATGGAGTAACTGCCAAAAGGTTTGGAAGTCTCTCTCACGTTGGTTTGGCGGATGTTAAAAAAAAAAAAAAAATGACCCAGTTTTCCCCCCCCATCCAGGGTTCTTCACTTATTCTATATGATGTTTGTGCCATTTCAGGAAATTTTTTGAAAACCCCCCCGATTTTTCCCATCTTGCGTATTTTAAATGTCTCCAAAGGGAGTAACAAAAAGGGGGTGGTTAAAACGGTAAAAAATGTTCATCGGTTTTTTTTTTTTTTTTCTTATTCCCAGGTCGCTTCGCCCCTTTTGTGGTTTTGTTTTCCTGGCCCTTTCAATTTTATTTCCCTCAA